CGCCGCCGCCGCCGCCAAAGAGTAAGAGAGGGGTTTGGGTGTGAGAGGTATCGGGGTGTCAGTAAAAGGAAAGGGTGAGGAAAGCTGGGCAAGGTCAGGCCTCGGAAGAGGCCCTGCATAAGCTGGGGAAAACAAGGGCTGAAAGGTCACCGCCATGTAAACGAGGGTGTCTGATAAAATGTACTGTGTAGTAATAAAGGTAAAAGTCAAGGTCTGGCTGTGTGGAGTATATTTATAAGCCATATATATATATACATATTATATATATATATATATAATTTTATAGTTATGAGTTTTATATTTATGAGTTTGTCACTTCTTTCCTGTTTACCTTCACCTTAATAATATTCAAGGCCAGGCTGGATAGGGCAGTGTCAGACTGTTCAATGTGTACGTCAAACTGAAAGAAATTAGGGTTAAATCAGATATCAAGAAAAAATTCTTTACTGTGAGAGTAAAATGAGGCCCTGGCACAGGCTGGCCAGAGAAGCTGCGGATGCCCCATCCCTGGAAGTGTTTCTAATGAGGTGTAAAACCTAGTTTTTAACTTTAGATGTTTGTCCTTGTCCTTTGAAGTGTTGTCAGGGTTAAAAAATAAAAGGACTTAGAAAAGGATTTCCAAAATCCAAATATCCCAAATAGCAGCTCCAGGCAGGGGTGTAAGAAGCTGCCATGGCCCTGTGTGTTAAATTTGGTTATAATGCTTCTTGTCCCATAGATCTGCAAGGCTGAACCTTGGTTTGGATGCTGCCCTGCGTCCTGCATTGAGGAGTATTTGAGCCCTTTTTATCCCTGAGTCAGAGCAGGAATACAAATTTCAGAGGCTGATGTTTTGTTTGTATAAAGGAGGCTCAGTGGTTCAGTGAGGTTTCCTGTCCCAAATTAGAGATCCAGGTGCTGAAACAGGAAAGCTCCATGAACCACATGTAAGAGTGATCAGACTTGTTGCCTGCTGTTGAAAAGATGACTGAAAGAGCAGCTGAAGGCAGACTTCTGCCACCTCCTTAAATGCCAAAGCAAATAAAAACCTGGCTGTTGCATTAAGAAAGCCTTCACTGCATAGATTGATTGAACAGTAAATTGCTTTTTATTATGATTTATTTTTTTGCATTAAGTGTGTTTGAGATGCACTTTGGTATCAGTTTCTGGATTCCCTGCTCTGCAGCTCTGATTGGTGTCAGGAGCTCTCTCAGGCCAGCAGCTCCCCCTGCAAACACTCCAGGTTAATTAAGATGTACAGAATTAAGATGTATAGGATGCATCTGCCTTTGCCAGACTCTGGCTGGAACAGGATGTGCAGATTTTCCTTGCTTTGATAAGATGGTTGTGTTTACACACAGAGTCAATGATGGGAAGTAGAGCTGTGATTTCTGCCTGACACCTCTCTGAGTGTGAGCAGCCCAGATTCCTGCTGGGGATGGTGCAGGGGGAGCACATGGGAATGGTGTTTCTGTGACTGATCTGGGGCTGTTGTTCTTTTGGCAAAGTGATGCAGGTACAGGTTAGCTGGTGCAAAGTTTGAAATACCCTAATTAAAGTGGATCAGTTGCGTTGGATCTTTCAGCTTTTCATCATAAAATCTTTTCCACTCATCCAAACTGAACTGTTTAAAGTATTATCCCAGTAACTAATGGTCAAGTTGAATTTTCCTTGCTTACTTGGTTTCTTAGGATGTTTTAACATTAATACTTCTTCAGGTTTTGCTCAGCTTTCCCTTTTCTATCCTTCCTTTGCCATCCTTGTGTTAGTTTAACCTTTTCTCTGCCTCTCTGAGGAGCTCTTCCATCCTGAGTGACTCTTCCTCCTCACGTGTTAGTTTCTCCAGGCTGCTGTTTGGCTGGGTCAGGGAGTCAGACCTGTTCCAAAGGTGGCTGCCCATCCTCCTGCCTCCCCCTGCCCTTCCTTCCCATCCTGCACCTTCCATCTGGCAGAGAGAAGTATGTGCTTCAAATTATTCCAAATACTACCTGTAAACTTGATACCTTCTTTTACTGTGTTTTGTTATGATAAGTCTTTGCATTTCTTTCTTAAATACTTTGCTTTTGTTTTCATGTGCTTGTCTCTTCTTTGATGTTTTCATTTAGACATTGCTAAAGACTTGCTTCTGTTCAGAACTAATGGTAATAACTCCTTGAATCATACAAGGTATTACCACACAATACCAGTGAGGGGAAAGCTCTATTTGGTTTATGGGCATATAAAGTAGATCTGGATTTCTAAACTCTGCAGAAAAATCTGCACAGTGGGCTGGAATCTGTTGAATTTTGCTGCTGGTTGGAAGGGGTGCAACTAGTAATGGAGTTGGCTTTGCTGTAGCCAATTTCAGCTGTGGTGAATCTTCTCAGTGTGCTCCCAGCCCTCCTTGACCTCCTGCTTTCTGTAACCACAACAGTGTTTGCTGTTGCTCAGCCTCCTGAGGATGATGATAAACATCCAAGGGATATTATTTATTCCCTGAAAGGACCTCAAAATTGCTGCTTTCTCCTTCAAGTGTTGGTTCCTTGTCTGGAGAGTTTAGTTGAGTGCAGGTATCCATGAGGGAGAAGAAACTGAGACAGAAACAAACGTGGAGCATCAGGAGATCTTCTGTGAGCCCTTTAACAAAGGTCTCAAGGCAGCAATAGGGAGGGAAGCCCGGAGGAGATGAGGGCTTGGGGAGATGGTGTTGAGCTGTGGGGGCAGCTCATGGGGCAGTGAACAAGGAACATTTTCATGGATGGCCTCAGTGTCTCTCACTCTGCTGCTTTTCCTTTTGGGACTCATCCCTGCCTCTGCTCCCAGGGTAACTCCTGCAAGCAGCTCTGGCTGTGGCTCTTCTCTGTCTCTGCTTCGCTGGCTTGTTCACAGACCAGGGCTGTCTCTGCAGCATTGAAGAGCTTGGCTGAGCCATCCTAATGCTCACCTGAGATAGGGAAGTATCTGCAGACCTCTTCCAGTGCTGCAGAGTTGAGGCACAGGGAAAACCAGCTCTTGGTAAAGCCTGGCTTTGGTCTGGCAAAGAGAGGAACACAAGGGTTTGTCTCTCGAGTTTCAGCATCGCAGCAGCAAAAACTGTTCCATGCTAGTAGAAGTCCAGTTCCCTTAACTTAAAAACTCTAAAACCTTTCTGCTTTGCAATGCCTGTATCTAGCATTATAATTACTTTCAGTTTATTTTAGTAGCAGATTATATCTGAAAGTTAAAACTGTGACTAAGCTCAGTGCTAGTGATGTCAGAGCCAATGATGATAATCCTCTTTATGCCGTTTCCTAGATGTAGCGGCACCACAGGGGAGCACCAAGCTGCTTGCCATGAAGGCACCAGTTGAATTTCGTAAAATGTTGTCTTCCAGCTCTCTCCTGCTGTCTGCAGACAAAGGTGAGAGCAGTTCTAGTACCACCCTCAAGGAAGCTGCAGAATCTGCTGAAGACACAAGGATGCCCAAGCCAAGAAAAACTCAGGTTGCGTTTCCTCAGCGAGGAGTTGTTTCCTCCCGTGAGGGGGAAAAGCTCAGCACACCTGCAAGAGGAGGAGGCCAGAGGAAAAAGTTAGCTGAGAAACAGTCTTCATCTTCATCCAGCTCAGATTCTAGCTCAGATTCTGAGGATGAAAGTGTTGGTGATTCAAAAGTTGCCACTAAAACTAAAGTTGAGTTTCCCAGACGAGATCCCATTTTTTCTGAGAATGTAGCAGTAAAGGCATCCACGCTGACAAAAGAGAAATTGTCCCAGAAATCCCTCAAAGAATATGGAATTAAGAAGCTGCCACGCAAACCAGAGATTGACGTCTCTCCTGTTAAGCAGGTCAGCTTTTCTAAAACATCAGTCAGCCAGGAAACATCAAAACCCAAAGCAAGAGACCCCAAAGTAAAATCCCCTCCAAAAGATCAGAAGCCGGGCTTAGAACCACACGTGCTGAAAAGTCTGGGCCTCAGCGATGTCACTGCTAAATCTCATCATGTGGAGGAAAAGTCCACTGGACTGAAAGCCTCAGCAGTGACTCACGAAGACAAAAAGCAAGATCTGCTATCCAGAGGAGAGAAGGAAAAGATGAAGGAGGCACAGAAGTTGGAAGCAAAAGAAGTGACTGCTCCTAAAGTGGAAGAGGCTCCTGGAAGCAGAACCTTGGTGATGGGCACCACAGCAAAGGAGGAGACCACGCAGGAAGGAGCCCAGGCTGGAGAAGGCAGCACAACAGAGGGTACAGCTTTCAATTGTTTGAACTCTATTGGTTCATCTGGGCTAGGGTTTGACTTTTTTAAAGGGTTTCTACATCTTCTCTGATCTTTCTACTGAAGCTGGCAGAGTGGCAGTGACTCTCTGGAAGATAAATTGTTCACTGCTAATTGTTATAAGCTGTCAGTAATACTCAGTCTCCAGCTATGCTGGGAAAGGAAGTGGTTTCATTTCTCTGTATTTATATTTTCATAAAACAGTTACTTATAAAATGGAAACAAGATTGTTTCCACTGTGAGCACAATCATGGGTTTTATATGACAACACTTGTTTTCATTCTTCTTCTCTTTTCTTGGAAGGCTTTGGTGGCTGCCATTCTCATGAGTCAAATTTGGTGCCATCTCATTGATGCTTAAACCCTGCCATCTTTCTGGTTTTGTTTTGGGTTTTTTGGGGGGTTTTGTTTTGATGGGTTTTTTCCCAAGCTGTCAATGTTTCAGATTTCAGAAGACTTCGAGAAACCATAGTGTAATGCCAGAAACAGGCACTGCTGATTGTGAGCCTGGAAGGTTGCAAAAGCAACTCGTGTGGAAGTAGTGAGTCAGTGTTGTAGAGAGCTGGGAGGAGCCAGGGCTGTGTTTTCAGGAAACACCATCACACAATCATCTCCTCAGCTGTGCTTCCCTGTCTGACCTACCCTTCTCATTTCCTGCCCTTTTGATCATTGATGCTCCTGCTGATCTCATTTTGTCTCTCTCAGTAGCAGATGTCTCTCTGTCCTGATCTGCTGAAATTCTGCTTTTCATCTTAGGCAATATAAATCTGCCATTCTTGAGACCCCTTTTCTGACTGCTACTTTGAATTAAAGAATTTGCTTGCTGGAAGTAAAAGCAGCATTAATTTAAGGTTGATTAGTATCATCCTTCAGGAAAGGCCCTGGGGGCCAAGGGAACAGCAGTGGGCCAGGAATGTGCCCTTGCAGCAAAGGCCACGAGGGGTGAGCTGGGAGGAGGCTGAGGGAGCTGCAGCTCCTGCCCTGCTGAGGTGCACTGGGGTGCAGTGTTCACTGTGGGGCTCCCCAGTGCAAGGGAGATGTGGGAATGCTGGACAGAGACCAGCAAAGTGCCACTGAGTGATGGAGGGACTGGAGAATCTCTCCTGAGAGAGCTGGGACTGTCCTGCCTAGAACAGAGAAGGTTTAGACAGATATGGAAATAACATATATATGGAAATAACAAGGGGAGTGCAGAGATGACAGAGCTGAGGCTTTTCAGTGGTGCACAGCGGTGGGACAAGAAGCAGTGGGTGCAAACTGCAACACAGGGTTTTGCCTGAACATCAGTAAACACTCATTTTCCTGTGAGTGATGGAGCACTGCCCAGGTTGCACAGAGAAGTGGTGGGGTCTCCATCCTTGGGGACACTCCAAATCTCTCTGGGCAGGGCCCTGGGCTCCTGCTGTAGCTGACCCTGCCTGAGCATTTGGGGTTGGCCCAGCTGACCTACAGAGGTGTCCTCCAACCTCAGCCATTCTGTGACTCTGAAGTGCCTGACCAGGTTAAGGGACAATGTAATTGCACTTTTATGTCAGCTTCCAGGAGAGGGTGCTGAGTAAAAGGCCTGCCTTCTGTTTCAGGGGTCAGTTTGCTCATCATTTCATGTTTCCTTTCCTTCTTCCTTGATGGTAGCTCAGATTACTGAAACTGGCTCTCTGTGCTGGACTCAATCTTGGAGGTCTTTTCCAACCTAAATAAATCTGCAGTTTAAAAACCAAAATGCAGCACTCTTGGCAAATGATATTTTGATTTGCTTGTTCCTTGTTGCAGTCAGCAGCATAAGCTTTCTTGTAAAAACAACAAAAATTTGGGGAGGGCTCTTTGTTTTATCTACAGATGATGCTTTTCTCACCATTCATCCACAGTGGAGTTCTAGATGCTCAAACATTTTTTTCTCCACATGTATCCTGTTCTCTCTTCCTTCTTTGAGAGCAGCCACTGCTTTTCCTTGTTGAACATTCACAGCTGACTGTCCCACTGTAACTCCTACTTCTGCCCTGCCCCTGTGTCCTTATGTCTGCAAACTCTGCAGCAGCCACACAAAAGATGTAAAAAGAAGTTTTCTCAGTGCAAACCTGGATGTTGAGGTGATGTCATCCCTTTGTAGAGCAGTCAGCAAAAACTGCTGCCTTGAACAAAAACTGCTGAGTGAGGAGCAAGGTTGTAGCTGGGAGCTCAGGAATAGGCCTGTGATTCATTTCAGAAGAGCATCCCAAGAAGTGCTTGCTCCTTAGGAGACAAAGCAAAGATGAAGGATGAAGTGAGGGGAGGGTGAACTCAGGAATAAATTTTTCCTTGAGAAGCCAAGTGCAGTGTGTTTGGGCAGGAAGAACAAGGCTCCATCTGCCTCCCTTCCTGCACATCTGTCTGAATTTGGATCTGGCTCTTGCAGGTTGAGCTGCTTTTGCCTCCCCCTGCCTGTTCCTGGGGCTCTTTGCAGCAAAGAGCATCATCTGCCTTTTCTCCCTGATCTCCCTCCTGTGAGCTGTGTCAGGAGAGCTGAGCAGCAGCACAGGGATATTTCCTGTCATGCTTTGCTGGAACCATCACTTACTACCTTGAGTTTTATAAGCAAGCCTTGCTAAATGCTATGGATGTTTCTCTTAATCTGACAGCTCCACACTGCAGTAATTGTGTCATGAGTAAAGGGAAATCCTGGTGTTCAAGTTCTTGTGTTTTTATAAGGGCTTAATACAATCTGACCTGAACCACCACACATAAATTTCTACAACAAAGCTTTTCACTACACTGTGTGTCTTCTTCTGTTGTTAAAACTCTGGGTATACAAGAATAAATTAACACTGGGAGTAAAGTTTTATTTCTTGCAATTTGCTTGGTTGTAAAGTCAGCCTGTGTAAGAACCTTTTATGTAAGTGATACTGCCTAGATCTGCATAATATTCTAAAAGCACAAGAATTAATGTTGGCTTTAGAGGAAGTAATGAGTTCTAAATAACTTTATTGGGTTATTCTTTTTTGAAGGAGAGTTAATACAAAGGTTAGAAGATTATATTTACAAGAAAATAAATTTACATCAAAGGCTCTTGAAAGATTACTGTTTGGTATAACCACATTTGAAATTAAATGGTAGAGATCTTGCTAATTCCATTGCTTCTCCCCATGGCAAGAACTCAATCTGTAAAGCAGCTCTGGGAGTTGTATCTTGTGGTCTGACAGGATGATACATCATTTGTACTGCTCCTTTGCCCCTCCTGGTTTGCTAAGAATGTCACCTACTGTTCTGGCTGGACTGAAAACCAAGGCAAAGATGAGAAAGCCAGGAAATGCAGCCATATGTCTTGCAGGGATAAAGGGAATGTTCTGCCCTGTGCACCCCCAGCATTGGGTGGTGGTTTGGGTTCAAAACCTGTCTGAGATTCCTTGTGCTGATCCTGTTCCCCATTGCATGTGCTGCTTTAGGCACCAGCTGGACTTAGTAAACTTCTCCTTTTCTTCAAGTTGCTGACTTCTTTTTCTTTCAAATACTGACTGGATGAGGGATCTGACAATTTATTAAGGCTGACTCAGGGCTTAAAAACATTGTCCTCTGGTGTGACACCCTCATAGTCACCAGCTGCTGTTTGTTTTCACAGAGCCTGCTCCAGAGGAGGAGTGGGATAATTCCACCTACAAGAACCTGCAGCACCACGACTACCACACGTTCACCTTCCACGATTATGTTGCCATCCTTGCAAAGTACAGGCAGCCTCAGCCATCCTCTGGAAGACCATCCCCAAGGCACTGAGACAGCCACACCTACAGCAAACACCCAGGCAGGATGGGGAATTGTTCTGTTTAGCACTGTTGCTTCATCTGTATCATTGAAATCAGATAATAAATAATAAAGGCTTAATAACTTGGGCTTTTGAACAGTTCTTCCTGGCTGTTGGAGTCCCTCACTTCTTGTCTTTTATGAGTGAACTGCAAATGAATCATCACTGAATAAAAGTATCTTTTCTACCTCTCCATATATATTATTTGGTGATAGTGTAAAAAGTCTTTTCAGTGTCTCCAAACTTTGGATACTGACCATTCTTACAGGACCACATCAAAGATTCCTGTGGGTTTCAGCTCCTGTTTCATTGGGTGTCCTGTACTGCAGTGGGCTGTGCTCCCTGCACACAAATGTGCTCCCAGCTCTGAAGAGGTAATGTTTACTCTGGATTTGGGAGTTAAAATCATTGGCTGGGAGCAGCACAAGAAGTGTTTGTCTCCTGTGGCAAGAGTGAATGTTTTGTGTTAGTGGAGGAATGCAAGTTTATGTAATGTGATTGAAACATCTCAAAACCTCTGCTCTTGTAAAGGGAGAACAGAACATACAACTTTATTTAATCATCTGTTGGGGGCTCCAGCAGTAATTGAAATAATTTTAAATGTATGAGAATCTCAGTGGGCAGTTCCTAATAGACTTTTACTGCGTTGATTAAACTTTGAGGAAAAAACCTATTTCTATGGATAGAAACACTTGAACTGTTATTTTTAAATGTCATGAAAACACCATAGGGGTAAAAACAGCTCCTGGTACTAATTGTTGGGTGTATGTTTAATTTCCCACTTCTTTTTTTCCCCACACTAAAAGTTCAAATTGCTGTCCAGCCTCATTCTTGCTCTGCAGCAAATGTGAGCCATGAGGCACTTCTCAGTGCACGTTATCAGCAGTCACAGTTGGTCTCAGTAAATTCTGTGTTTCCATCCTATTAGTAACACTCTTCTGCCTTCTGGGAAAATTGCCTTGATGGCCGCCAGCTGTTGTGGGTTTAGTTCCATTTTGGCTTCTTGGTCATTTTGGGCTTTTTTGGAGTTAATTGGCCTTTAAGCAGTTCTTGCAATAACTCCAGCATTTTCCATCACCTGTCTGTATTCTCTCAAGCAACAGACCAGGCAAGATCAAAGGGAAAACAGAGTCAGCTTTAGGAGTCTATCTGGATATTGGATGTGAATCCCTGGGTGCAATTAGTAGAGCAGATATTTTATACTGTAACTTGGCAAAAATGTGGTAAGAAGGATCAAGAGGCCTACATCAATTTGCTGTGCAGAATTTTAAGTCAGAAACCCCTGGCAAGCAATTTTATTGTCCTGTAAAAAATAAAGAGCATGTTAGTGACTCCAGCTGAAATTTAGAAATCTGTTAATGTATAAATCCACGTGCTGAGGAATAAAGAGCAGAAAGTCACTTGGAGACACCAGTGGTCCCATGTAGTCTGTACTTGTAAAAGGGAGAGAAATTTGCTGCTAGCATTAAAAACATGAAAGAATTGGGGTCTTCCTTTGTGAAGGGCCCACAGGAGGCCCCAGTAATGCTGCTGTGATTTGTTATTACCTGAGCCCCAGAGCTGCACTGGTGCTGAACTGTGCTCTGAGCTGCTCTGGGACTGCAGAAGGAGGCTGCAGATTGTCAGACTGTGCAGTAAAAGTGAAATGTGTATTTACTCTGGCTGCCCACAGTAGCTGTCACTGCTGGCTGCTGGGAGTCAGACTTGCTCACCTCGTGCCCTTTTTATTTCTCAGGAGGGTTGGTGTTCTAAGCAGAGACTGCATCAGCCCAGGAGGAGTGGGTTGAGGTAGAAATGTATCTTGCAATCAGTCAATTCCCACCCTCTGCTCAGCTCCATTTCTAAACTAAGGAGATTCTCTCTGGTTTGGGGACAAGCATTTTGCTACCCTTGTTTCAAGATCACAGCAAAAATTAATGGTGGATGGTTTTTCTACATGTAACCCTGCCTTGGTGTCTTCTGGTGATCTTTCTGCACCTCTAAATGAAGCTGGAAGTCAAACAACCTCATAACTCTTGTGCTGCATGTCTTAGGTTTGCCCTGCTCAGTGAACCAGTCTGCCCTGGGAAGGCAGATTGTTCAAGGAAGGCACCAAGAATTTTTTCCCACTGTTGTGTTTTCCTGGATTTCAATGACAAAGGCTTCATGTTTTTGTCCTTGGCTATTATCAGATGTTGCTGTGCTTGAGTCATATGCTAACATTTAAATTTCAAGCAGGATGTGACACAATATGCTCAAATTCTGTAATGTTAGGAACTTTGTCTTGCTGTGCTAGGCACTTGTCAGATAAATCAGGGATCTTGTTTGGAAGAATGTATAATCCAGGATGCTAACATAATTCCTGGAAAACCTCAAATGTGAAAGAAATTAAGTCTCAGCTTAGTTACTCTGAAAGCCAGCTGTTCAAGCCCAGCACAGACATCAGAAGTGGGGTTTTCAATGTAAATTGTATTACTGGGGGAGTACAAGAAAATCTGGAAATTGGAATTCACTTTCCTCTCACTGAAATATGAAGCTACCACTTTCCTTATCAAAGGGGATGGTTTTTAAACTTTATGTATTTTTTAAGTGCAATTTTGCACAAAATTGCTTTCCATCATTTTCTCACATTTAGATCTTTCAAAGTAACTTGGAACTCATCAGGTTCTGGACAGGCATTGGAAACCCCTGATCCAAGGTCCAGAAGTGGCACTGCAAACACAGCCTGTGCTATTACAGCTTTAGGCATTACAAGTTCAAGAGTTTTCTGCTCCTTCTGGGGCTTCCTGTGGCCTCCAGTCATGATGAGAACTGAAATCTATAAGGATCTCTTCAAGTTTTCTTTCAAATGAGACTTTTCACTGAGTGCACTGACAGAACTTCCACAGAATGTCCCCAGTGTTCAACAACCAGAACAAATCCACTGAGCCCTAAAAACCTGCCCCAGTCTTTTCTCTCACCACAAGAAATGCCATTGCTTGTCTATTCCAAACAATTGGAATTCCTGATGGAATTAAAAAACAAAAACAACTCAGTGGCTGATGTGCAATGAGTGAGCAGAAAACACACTCCCAGTACCCAGTGTAGCATCAAAACATCAGAATTGTGCAGACTGAGCTTGGAAATCCTGAGATGATCAATTCTCTGCTCTGCAGCAGCTGCAGTTAGATCAGCTTGTCCTGGACCTTGTCCAGTTGAGTTCCAAATACACTCAAGGATGGAGATCCTGCAGGCTCTCTGGTCACCTTCTCCAGCATTTGGACACTCCTGTGATTTAAAAGACAAACAAAAAGCCTTTACCTGTTAGAATTTTTTTAGAATTAGAATTTTAGAATTTTTTTAGAATTAGAATTTTTTTTTTTGTCTCCTGATGCTGCTCCTTACTCTACATTTCTGACAAGCCTGGTTTTGTCCTTTCTGCCCCCTCCAAGGAGGTGATTAAAGGCAGGAATCCCCCTTATTGTCCCCTTCATACCAGGCTACTTCTGTAACACCTGAGTGATTGACTCCTTAACCAGAGATCCTCTGACCTCTGAGTAACATTAAACTCTTAGGATTTTAAACAAAATATCCCACCAAGTTCCCAGATATTCCTTCTCCTCTCATGTGGCTCTTTTTAGTGCAATTTTAAATAATTTATTCTATGATTCTATTATTTCAATGCTTAGATATTATCCTCATTGTTCAGTTCAGGATCACTCCTAATACAATTTACAAATATTTTTGAGCTCCTCCTTTTTTTATTTTTGACTACACACATTCAATTACACTTAGAAATTCATACCCACCTCTGGAAGTCGTGGATATGTGGCAGTTTTGGGGTAGAATGTATCAATGCATAGTTAGAGACATAAGTTTAAGTACATGAATTTATAATGAAATATCCCAAAAACTTTGGCTGAGTGTGTGGAGTCAGTCTCAAAATTTGTTTTGGTCTCTCCTGGCCTCTTTACAAACTTTTAACTGCAAAATAGATTGACAGGAACAAGTTTCTGTAAATCCATAGCACCACAGACTATATGCATTTTAACTTCTAACACTCACAGAGCCAAGGCCACATGTCTTTGTTAAAATCAACACCTAAAACTCTTCACGGGCTTGTTTTTGTTACTCCAGTCTGAAATGTGGTTCAAGTGGCAGTGCCCCTTCCCAAAGAGCCATTTCCTAAAGCAGTAATGTAAAAAATGAGCTCATGTAGATTATTTATGCTTGCTAGTTTTGATTGTGGATTTTGCTTCATTTTCTGTTTCTGGTCTGTCCATGATAGTGAGGTGCTCTTGCTATTCCATTTGCCCATGGGGGAACAACTGGTTTCTAAAATGTGTGACAGCATCTCTCTGGCAGGGGAGAGGAAATCTGCAACCTATGGCACACCTTGTGCTACACAAATGCTCATGTTGTGCCTCAAAGAAGGGAGCAAGAGTTTCCCTTCCCTGGAGGCTTGGAAAGGGACTTGAGAGCACCAACCCTCCACACTTTCATTGCTCATTTCCAGGTGCTCCTTTTCCAAAAGGCATCTCCCATGCTTTTATTAATTTAGCTTAAAATCATTCCAGACAAGGCCATTCTGAACTGCATGGATGTTTCCCAAAGCCTCCTGGGGTATTCCTAAAAGTGAGCTGCATCCTATGGTTTGAGGACTGGGAGAAAAGGGAGGGGAGCTGGAAAGAAACTCAGAGAACAGAAGGAAAATGCAGGAACTGAGAGCAAGGATGGTCCTAATGAGTCCTTATGAGTCCTTATGACTCAGGTGTTGGACTGGATCATTTGTGAGACCTCTGGCTGCCTGGAAAATTGCATAATTCCTTAGGTTCTCATCCTTACTTTATAGATGAGGAGTTAGTGGTCCCAACTTTCTCTTTGTACATCACATCTATTTAGCAAGCAACCCAGAATAAAAACGAGTAAAACATGGGAAACATTTTTTCCTCACAACTTCTGTCTTGGGGGCACACATTGTTTAAGAGCTCTGAGCTAGCTGAGGTTCTCCCAGGAGATGCAGTGCTTATTAACAGCGTGACAAAAATACACTTCAGATAGGCTGGGCAGAAACGCCAGAGATTTTGAAACTGCATTCAGGCAATGGTGAGGCCGTTGAGATACAAAAAAAGCTTTACAACTGTT